AAACCATGAATATTTTTGTCATCTGTTTATCTGGAATATCCACATTGTCCTGTTATTTCTGAGAAGCTTTAAGTTGTTGAAATAGTAAGCATGTTGACATTGATGGAGTATTTATATTGAGAAATTGGGTTAACACGTAAACAATGGGGGACAGTAATAAAATGGATAGATTTACCTGCATCTATAGCACTTCATGGAAACAACATACAGGGAGCCCCCAAGTTGCAAATGTCCAACTTACAAACATGCGTACTTACAAAGACAATGCCAACAAGAGTGAAATTTTAAAGACCCAACAGATAAATGCTTCCTTGTACTTAAAAACTGCTATTTTTTATTGTCCTGCATTGTGATCTGACTTGTGTACAAATGGACTTGCGAAAGGGCTCAAGAGCAGAATTATTTGCAACCAGGGACTGCCAGTAAATCACTAAATGCAGCTGTTTAGTTTGATTCTCTGTGGTTTTCACAATTGTCAATGTTCCACGGAAGACTGGAAGAATCTATGGAAATTTTCCCATTTCCTATTTGCACAGAAAAAATACTCACCTCACGTTTTAGTAATATAAATAGTAATAACTGAGCTTCTAAACTAAATTATTTTCTGTATAGCAAGCATATAGAAAAGTCCATAATATGTGGCAGGAAAGAAAATGCGCAAGGAGGCTGTAATTGATTCTCTGGAATCTCCTTAACTATTAAATGCAGTCCTGATAGTGAGACTTCCTTTCAGAATTCCTCAGGCTGATGAATAACTTGTTCTTACCATTGAAAAATCATAAGCAAAAACAAACTTGAGCGCACTTGATTAGTAAGTTTTCAGACCTAGCAGTTTCAGATACATTTAATTAAATTGTGTATTGCTAGTCTGAAGGAGAGATAATTACAGGAAAATAGATTTGATGTTTTAATGAAACTTCCAATATAGAGACATTTCCTTGAAAACATAGAACTGAATAAATGTGTAGTCAGAAAGAAGAATAAGCTGGCTTGGTGGAAATCAAGGACTATTGCAGGGTTGCCTTTTTGAGTGATCTGATTGATCAGACTTTTGTGCAATGTCAAAGAGCTAACTGGCAACAAAACGATCTTTCACTTGCATAACAATTTGTGCAATTCAAGGTTACCAGCCTCCTAAAATATTTCTCAATTAAGATAGCTGACCAATTTAGAATTAATTCTAAATTGAAATATAGTATTCACATTTATTTAACAAAGCTATGTAACTTATATTGTATCAAATATATACTCTAAATATTACAATGTGCTATGCTCTTAACTCCCAATATAACACTAGATGCGTTATGACCAGAGATCCCCAACATGAACAATTTTAATGGTAACAGGATGAAAGGGAGCTGAAAATATTTATCAAAATGCAACACACGATTGTTGTGTAATGTTTAACAGCATGCAGTATACTTTTAAGAGTCATACTCATGGTATAACCACTACATGTGACCAGATTTATAAAGGTCCCAGACTCCATCTTAACTGGGGCTACTTGAAGCATGATACATTAGTGAAAGTGGATTAGTCTTTGTAACCAAATAGCTTAATACATTGAAGCGCCTGTGACTATTATATATTTATATATCAGAAGCTGTAATAAAAATCTGGTGAATCTTTCAATACCATATTATCTATATCTCATTCTTAAGTTACAGGCACTAACATAAGCATTGCCACATCAGGTATTGGATGCAATGGCCACACAATAATGGCTGATCAATTAGCCTTCTAAACTGGTGAATATATGAAGCTCTCTCTTCTGTCAAATGAATTTTTGGAAATATTTTCCGTTCCAATTATTCCTTGCTTTTCTCAAAAGCTGTTGTTCCTTGTTTGAATACTGATTCAAAAATATTGACTTTTCTTGGATGTCTGTTCTGAATATCTCTGTTTCTTTGACCTTTTGAATTTGGGGAAGGGTTGGGGGATATGCAGACATTTTACAGTTTTTCTGCATAGTGGATAATTTCAGATTAATGCACTTTAAGTCTAAAGAAACAACAGCAGCATAAATAAATGGAATTCTTTATAGCAGTAAATTAAATTTCTCATTAACCTTCACAGAGGCAAAATGAAAAATAAACCAGCTGAACCAGAAAAAGTAATATTAGGATCTGTGACCAACAAAGACCTTTTGAGAAGGTCTGGGTCTCGATCAGAGCAAAGTGGGTATAAAGTTTGTAACTGGTAGACTCCATGCCAGTCCTCCTATAGGCATTTGCAGTACAGATGGAGGCCATTTGACATAATTGACAATTTGACAGATTTGGCATAATCCTGACCCTGAGCATATTGAAATAGGGTGGTGGTCAGACAATTATGATTAAATAGATTCAGTTAAGGGGCCTATGTGGCTTGAAGGATTTATTGAGATTTATTGTGACTCTCCATTCATATGTCCTACACTGAGCCCACCATGTTGGCCTAGATATGGACCAGGTCTGCTTAGAATCACACTCTGTGTTTGGCCCCAACCTATTTGAAAGGCAGCTCCAAAAGCTTGGTCAAGAATTTTAGAACTTAATTTAGACATCGTTGCAACAATTTAATGGCCTTATAATTGTGACAATTTAAACAAATTGGAAACCCACACCTAGAGTTGAGTCCTCTGCTAAATTAGTCAGACCTTTCTTCTGACTCCTAAATTGTTGGCCTTAGTCAGAACTTTTTTCTTTAAGTCATCTGTGGTAATTAATGGTCATCCCTAATCATCCATGAGAAATAGATGGTGGGTTGTCTTCCTGAGGTGCTGCTCTCCAGTCTATGTGGTGGAAATATGCCCACAGTACTGTTGGGTGTGTGTAACCCAGTGAAGATGAAGGATTAGCCAATATAGTCAAGTTGGTTCGTGAGTTAGGGGAAAACGTGGAGGTGGTGATGTTCTCGCATGTCTTCTTCCCAGTGTAGGATTTGAGTCTTGGGTCTTTGTTGTCAAAGAAGTTCTGGCATGTCACTGCAGTCAATGGTACTCACTTCTCCTCTTGTGTGCCCAATGTGGAAGGAATAATTATTTATGACGATAGCTAACATGTCAACCAAGATAGCTGCATTATGGTGTTGAACTTGGGGCTCTTGTAGCACAGTGGCAATGTCCCTACCTCAGAGCCAGGAGGCCTAGGTTCAAGCCCTACCTGCTCCAGAGGTGTTTAATAACATCTATGTACAGGTTGTTTATAACTTTTGTACTCCATCACACTCCTGCCTTGAGCCTTATAATTGGTGGACAGGCACCACGTAGTCAGGAGGTGAGTTACTCTCTGCAGAACTCGCAGGCTTAGTCCTACATTTATAGGTGCAGTGGTTTATCCAGTCCTGTTCTGTCAATGGTGGACCTCAGGATGCTGATGGCAGGGGATTCACTGTTGGAAATGCCATTGATTGCATGCAAAGATGTTTGAATTCTTTCTTTGTGCAGATTGTAAGGGTCTGACACTTGAATAGTACAACATTACTTATCACTTAAAAGTCCAAGCTGAAATGATGTCCAGGTCTTGCTGCAAGCTTATTTTAATACATATTTTAATGAGTTGTGAATAAATAGAACGTTGTGTAATTGTCAGTGAACATGACTGATTCTGATATTATGATGAAGAGAATGTAATTCTTGACACAATCAAATATAGCTGGATCTAAGATACGGTATGTCAAATGTTTGCAGTGACCTTTTGAGGCTGAGGTGATAGACCTCTGACAACCTCACCATTTTCCTTTGTGCTACATATGATTCCAACCAGTGGAGAGTTTTCATTGTTTTTCATTAATCTCAATTTTTCGTGGGCTCCTTTTATACCATATTCAATCAAAAGCTTAACTCACGCCATGCTTGAAATGCATATGAACCAATTTTCTTTTTCAAAGTTTGAGCCTAAGCAGCAGGTCCTTAAAGGAGATGTTAGAAATGCTTAGAACAGTGGATAATAGGAGGAAGAAGTGATAAGAAGCTGGAAGTATGTTTGATATGCATTTGTGGCACAAAGAAAACTAAAATACCAAATCATATAAAAGCCAGTGGAAGGATCAGAAAATACAAAACTAAATAGAAGTTGCAAGTGTTTATGGAAGATTGGCATCCTTACTACAAATTAACTACATGAACAGCATTGGGAGTTACAAACTTACATAGAAACCCAAAGCATACGAAATATTGAAGTACTTAGGAACCATGCCATAGGAAGTATATATTGGCCTTAGAGTACAACATAGATTTACCAGAATGATACTTGGAGAGATTATACAAATTAGACTCAAATACTTTAGAATTTAGAAGGTTAAGGGGAGACCTGATTGAAGTATTCAAGCTGTTAATGGGAAAAGACAGGGTAGATAAAGATAAACTAGTTCCACTGGTTGGGGATTCTAGAACTGGAGACATAGTCTAAAAAAATTAGGGCCAAGCTGTTCAGCACTTCTACACAGAAAAGGTGGTCGAGGTTTGAAAAATTCCCACAAATGGCAATTGATGTTGGATCAATTGTTAATTTTAAATCTGAGAGTTTTTTTTTGTTAAGTGAAGGTATTAGGGGATAAGAGCTAAAGGCAGGTATATGGAATTAAGCCACAGATCAGCCTTTAATGTCAAAACAGGCTTGAGGGGCTGAGCAGTCTATTTCTGTTCCTATGTTCTTATCACAAGCTTTGAACACTTGGCTGTTTTGTAATGACAAACTGTTTCATTCTCTACATTTTAAATTTAAAAAACCGTGTAAACTGCATACAAATTAAATCACCCTGAAGTAGGAAACATGATGATAACATCTGTTGGATTCTGTGAACGATCCTTTAGTCAGAGAATGCATAGAATCTGCATTGTTTTTGTGTTGAATCTTTGACAGTTTTTCTAGAGGGTCTGTCAACAAAGATTTCTCCAAACTGTGCTGTGCATGTTTATTTATAGGCGTTGGCATCTGACATGTATTGAAAAACTCAATAAATAAAACCTTTCCTGCCTAAAGACGTAACAACATAAACTTCTTTTGATTTATTTTTAGGGTAATATTGGGCCTGCAGCATTTTGGCTCCTATTGTTCCTGCTGAAACATCCAGAAGCAATGTCTGCAGTCCAAGAAGAAGTCAAGAAAATCTACTGCAATTGTGTAATGTCTACTATTAGTCAGCAAGTTCTTGACAATACTCCAATTTTCGGTATATTTTTACTTAAAATATGGTTTTATTCGTTTCACAATTATGAAAAGTTAATAACCAATTATTGCTACAGTTTTTGAAAATAATGGGATTGTCTCCTACCCAAATTGCAATTCTAGGACCCAACTGTATCAATTTCTGTTTGAATCTCTTGAATCTCTGATTTGGAATTAGGCGATTTTCAGTTTTATCAGAGATTTATTTCCTGACGTGATATGTATTTTTTTCCCTTAAAGTAACTAAATTTGTCAAATTAAGTACATTGACTTTTCCACATTCCCTTATTGAAATGTATTTTTATCAATGTGCAAGTGTTGAGGATCTAGCAAGTCTACATTGGATATTACTGTTAGATGCATGAGACCCATATTTAGGGAAGCATTGGTGCAAATATTGTCCTCAGATCAATATAAAAGTAATTATTATGTAAGTAATGTTAGGCCAATAGTGATTCATTTTGATTATGTTCAACTCCTCTTTTAGAATAAACACAGTCAAACTACATTGGAACCCGAGGATACAGTGACTGAATGACCTCATTCACAGTCCTTTGACTGTATCACTTGGTTTTGAAGCTAGTCATGATTGCTGGATGAAATAATTCTCTTTGCTTTAGTTGAAAGAGTCCTCCTTAAACAGTTTAAGTATGTGAGCAACAAGTGCCAGATGGGTATAATGTGATGAAATGTGAGATTGTGTACAACTTAGTAAACAACTCTGTCAGTAAGAACAGAAAATCCAAATTTTCAGAACTTTTTTGGAAAAGGCTTGAATCTTTTAGATGTTGATGTTCAGAGACACTTAGGTTCACTTACACAAGGAAAGCAGAAATTTAGAATTCAGGGACAGTAAGCAATTAGGAAGATAAATTACATGTCGGTCTTTTTTGCAAGGAGATTGGAATACAAAAAATCCGAAAGAATACCTCAGTTTACATAGATTTTCATAAGACTACACCTGAAGTACTGTGGCCAGTTTTTGGTTTCCCTGTCCAAGAAAGGATAAAGTTGCTTTGAAGGCTGAGGCTCACTAGGCTGTCCCTGGTATGAGAAGCTGTTCTCTGATGAGGGGCTGAGTAAATTGCATCTGTATTCTCTGGAGTTCAGAAGAATAAGCATGATCTAACTAAAATATATAAGATTCTGAAAAGTCTTGACAGGCAGACACTGAAAGGTTGTTTTCCCTTACTGGGTAATTGAAAACACAAGAGTACAGTTCTCAGGATAAGTTGTCGATCATTTATAACTGAGATTAAGAGAAATCATGTGATTCAGTGTTATGAATTTTTGTTGCCATTCTGTACCCTAGCAGTTTGTGAATGCTTGATCATTGATTATACTCAAGGCTGAGATAGATCTTTGGTCTCTCAGAAAATTAGAGGAATATGTAGAGCAGAGAGTTAAGTGGATTTGAAGCATGATCACATTGAATTAAGGAGAAGGGTCAAGGAACCAAATGTTCTACACTTTCTGATATTCCTTGCCTGTCTTAAGTTTACATTAAATATGTTCCAGCTGTCACTAGTTAACTACTTTCTGGGATCAACATAATTAATACAATGTGGAAAGAAAGGTTTGACAAATTCAGAGAGTCAGCTTAAAGAGGAAAAAGCAAAGACATAGTATGGGAAGAGACAGACAGCTAATGTGAAAGAGAATCCAAAGCTTTTTGATGGTATAGAAATGATAAAAGAGTCGTAAAACGACTGGGTGAATTAGCAACCTAAAAAGGGAATTGCACATGGAGACAGAGCACATGGCTGAGGTATTGAATGAATACTTCAACCAAAGGAAAAGGTACTTCCAAAATCATAATGAGTAGAGATATTGGACAGGCTAACAATTAAGAAATAGAGTCACGAGAAAGGTTGACTGTACTAATAGCTAATGAGTCACCAAGACAGGATGGATTGGCATTTGAAGGTACTGAGGGAAGTAAGGTTACAAATTTCAGGGGTAATATTCATAATCTTCCTTAGATTAATGCGTTGTGTAGGAAGACTGAAGGATTGCAAATGTTATGCATTTGATCAAAAAAGGGAGTAAATAGAACCCCAGAAGCTACAGGACCATCAGTCTAATTTTGATGAAGGGAAAGCTTTAGAAAGAATAGTCCAGGGCAAAATTAATAGTCACTTGGAAAAGTTTGAATTAATAAATTAAAACCAGCATGGATTTGTTAAAGGAAAATCATGTTTAATTGACATGATTGAACTTTTTGGTGACAGTAACGAAGCGAGCCAATGTGGGTCATACAGTTGATATGGTGCAGGATCAAAAATATTTGAACTTCTAAATGTTATTTGATAAAGTGCCACATTACAGGCTTACCAGCTTGAAGTTATGGAATAAAAGGAACAATGGCAACATTAATACAAAGTTAGGTCAGGCATCAGAAATAGAGCGGTCTTGAACAGTGGATTTCTGGATTGGAGAAGGGTACTCACTAGGGTTTCCTAGGGATTAGTATTGAGATTTCTGCTTTTCTTGATATATAAATTAATGGCATTTACTTGGATGTATGATGTACAATTTTGAAACTGTCAGCTAATACAAAATTGGAAGTGTTATGAAATATGAGGAAAGATTGATTTCAAAAAGATAAATTCAGGCTCGAAGAATGGACAGATATAATTTAATACAGAGAGTATAAAGTGTATAAAGAACAAAGATAGGTAAACTAAATGTCACAATTCTAAAGGAGGTACAGCATCTGAGGTAAATGTGCACAGATCCTTGAAAGTGGCAGGGCAGCTAAAAAAAAAACTTTAACAGGCATAGGAGATCTGAAATTTATAAATAGCACTTTTAGGTACTTCATTCCCAGGTCAGGTACACAGATGATGGATATATCCCAGCCCCACAAACCTGACTATTAAAAATGGATGCCTGCACTTCCCATTTTTGGTTTGGTGTGGTGGTAGTGGTGGTTGGTGGGTGATTGGGGGGCATTGGCGAAGGTGCAGGGTGGAAATGGATTGGGCATGGTGCTCTCGTTTGAGATTCGAGCCAGTGACATGAGAGAAGCTGGTGCAGCAATCCATTCCTGAGCAGGCCGGCCGCACTCCTGATCTTTGGAGCTGCAACACTGCATTGATACCATCCCCAAAAAAATAGAAAATGTCAGGTTCACAGGTGGGACCTAGGATTTAGAACTTCCTCTGACATCACCGCAGAGAGGCTCTCTATTGTGGCAAAATTGGAGCCACAGTGTATAAAAACAAGGAAGCTATGATTATTCTTTGAACTACATTGTCACCACTAGAATATTTAGTACAGTGCTAAACACCACAATTTAGCAAGTTGCAAAAGCATTAGAGAGAGTCTAGAAAACATTTACAAGAATGGTCCCAGGGACAGGAAAGTTCACTAGATGGAGGGTGCAGATGCTGGGATTGTTCTTCTTAGAGGAAAGAAAGCTGAAATGAGATTGAATAGAGACGTTCAAAATATTGAGAAGATTAAATAGAGTGGATAGAGAGTAAATGTTTTCATTTGTGGAAGGGTTGAGATTTCATGACAGTGTAAAAATGACAATTAGTTTTCGACTGAAAAATTCAACAGAACAGTATGGGAAAACTCAAGGGATTAATTAATTTAATTTTTGAAAGTATGGTGACATTCCTTCTCTTTTGTTAACAGATAGTGTTTTAAATGAAACTCTGCGGCTGACAGCAGCACCATTTATTACTAGAGAAATTCTCCAGAGTATGTCGCTGCAGCTTGCAGATGGCAGAAAATATCACCTCCGCAAGGGAGACAGACTTGTTCTCTTTCCTTATTTAAGTCCCCAGATGGACCCAGAAATCTATGAAGATTCTGAGGTAAGTTAGATTCATTTGATGACATGTTTCATAAATAGTTGAGAAACTGCTCAAAATTGAAAATTCAAATGGTATAAATATCTCATTGAAATTAAATTAATGCAATGCCATTCTCTTTGTCCAGCTTGCAAGGGCTGTAGTTTAAAATCATTATATACCAAACAAAATTCTATTTTAAAAACTTGGCTTGGCCTTTGCTTTTAAAGTACCATTTTGGTTCAGTTACTGCAGAAAGCCTTTGGTTCAAGTTGCACTCCAGCAGTGACTTCAAAATCGAGGCTAATATCCAATTCAATACCAAGGAGATGTTGCACTGCGATAGATGGCATGCTGTGAATAAGGTTTTTAGATTAATTTAGCTCCTGGCTGGAAATCACAGCGATCAGCTTATTTAATCCTCCTGGTGGCATCATGAAATGCATCAACTTTAACCTCACTGTCCTATCAGACTTTGTTCACGCGTTGTTGGGGAGCCTGCAGACATTCTAAACATCAGGCATCAGGTAATGACAAACAGGGGCACTGATCATGCAGGGCCAGGCGATCCTGTAATAATAACAGGAAACTGTTAACTGATTGTTGGATTGATGGGCAGGCCTATATATTTGTTGTTTGGCTTGGCCAAATATTCCTGGTCACACGGGAGAAAGTAAAAAGCCCTCCCTCTTTACATGCCTAACCTGCTTTGGATTGACAAGGATATTTGGAAAAAACCTTAGCTAAAACTGGTCAAGACCTGGTAAATTCATTGGCATTATAAAAAAGGGTCTTCCTGACTTCAGCTGAATGCTTTTCATGTCTGCTCAAAGAAGCGGATTAAAATTAGGATTGTGGGGGAAGGAGATGAGTAAGTCACTATGAGCGTTTTAACAATTTACCTAACCAGTTTCCATCAGAAGGGTAGGCTTTAAATCTTTCGGCAGGAGTTATCCTCCTGGGGACAGTGTTCTGATTTCTGGTGGTATGACCAAGGAGAATACCAATGATTAAACATTTCTAAAGATTTGTTCCTGGGATTGGCAATGCTGGCAACGCCACATGTATTCCTCATCTGTAGTTCCCATGAGAAAGAGGTAATGCTTTCTCCTTGAATTGCTATAAACATTTTGATAATGATGCAGTCAGTCTGGTGGCAGGTGAGGAATTCCAGAATATTGACTTAGCAATGATGAAGGAACAGGGATATGTGTCTAAGTCACTTCAAGGTGATGCTCCCCACCACCCCTCCCCCCCACTCCCTGCTCCAAGGGTCTCGTCATTCTCAGTGATAAAAGTTACAGGGTAGCACTGCCACAGCATCTTGAAGATCACAAAATGTCTTTATTTTCTTTTACTGGAATATCAACTGAAAGCAAATCAAATTCAGACTTTATAAGGGCAGTGTCATATTCTCACTAATATCATTCATGGTGCTGTAATTAGCACTGTTATTTCTGGCATATTTACTGATGTCATTCCATCTGGGTGTCTCCTTTAGCTGGGAGGGCAGTCTCCTGACTGGCAATATTCTCTTACAGCATTTACAGCATAAAAAGATGGCATCCAGGAAGAACAACGTTGCTTCAAAGTTTCTCTCATAATTGCTTAATTTTTAGATTTATAACAAACCTGATGGAACCCAACTCGGTGACAGCTGTGACTAAACTACTTAGCAAATAATACTGAATGACCAGTGCCAAAAGTATTACAGTCTCCCAATACAGTGACTAGGATTAGAAACTTGACTGATGCTTCAGCATTAAAACGTATTGTTGACCCTGTCAATCATTACTAGTCAAACAGCAAAAACAAAAATGTAAAAATACATGGGTGCTGAGACGACAGCTTTAGCTTGCTATGTGACTTCATCTATAACCAAGATGACTTTGGCTGAAGGAATTTTAAAGCCAGTTCAAATACAAAGTTGTTAAAGATTTAGTACACCCATAACTGACTCTGCCATAGTATGTCTTATGAAGAATAGACAGGATTAAGATATAGACAAATCCATTAACCATAAGGAATTTCATAAATGATAGAAATTATATTTCTGTAATGAACATTAAAACAGGAGGTTACAGATCTGGAAATAATCATTAACATTTCATCTGGAACATCCCAAAATTTTGAAAATAGTACTTACATTTTTTTTAATTTCAAAAATATACTTCATTCATAAAAAGTCTTGTATACATACATAGTCACTAGAGAAGTTTGACTCTTACACAATCTTTACTTGTGTAGAGCAAACAAACCTAAGGCATTTCTTCCTTATACAAGTCTATATTTATGTACATTTGAGGCACTGGGAGGATCTGACAACTGAACAGACCCTGTTATACTTCAGCAGAAAGACCCTGGATGATGGTATTTTCCCACTGAGCCTTGACGGCAGCTGCCGCAAGCTTTAGTGGGTACTTATAATGTTATTTCTCTTGACCGTTAATCACTTCACTAATTAAATATTTATTCAGTGCCCTCCTTAAAAATGCTAACTGCCTTCGAAATAGGGGCGCATTAGGAGGCCACTAGCAAATATGATGTGGAGTTGCTGGTGTTGGACTGGGGTGGACAAAGTCAGAAGTCACACGACACCAGGCTATAGTCCAACAGGTTCATTTGAAATCACAAGCTTTCAGAGCGCAGCCCCTTCGTCAGGTGCAGTGAGAGAGCACAGCACGCAGACCCAGAGTTTATGGGCAGAGACATCAAGGGCAGAGAGGTTAAAAGATCATACAACTGATGTGAGTGGAGTGTCAGATGATAAGTCTCTGCAGGTGACCAAGAGTGTTAGATGGTGAGTAAAGTGTCAACAGCTGAATAATCAGCAAAGGGATGATTTATAATCTGATTAAGAGAGGAAGAGAGATAATTACAAAAAATTAAAAATAAGGTGGTGCTGGAGACAACTACATGACTGGAATAAGATGATAGGTATAAGAGTCGCATATTGAGGTGGTGGAAAGGTGTTTTCCAGGCTGGGTGTCTGTGACTAGTGGTGTTCCAAACTGGAACCTCTGCCGTTTGTGATATATAACACAATATATATGACTTAGATGAAAATGTAGATGGGTGGTTAAAAAGTTTGCAGACAATACAGAGATTGGTGGAGTTGTGGATAATGTAGAAAGTTGTCAAAGGATACAGCGGGATATAGATCAGTTGCAGATATGGGCAGCAAAATGGCAGATGGAGTTTAATCTGTGTAAGTGTGACGTGCTGTGAGGGAAATCAAATGTTAAGGAAAAGTATACAGTTAATGGCAGGACTGTGAACAGCATTGATGTACAGAAGGATGGCCACGCAAGTAGATAGGGTGGTAAAGAAGGCATATGGCATGCTTGCCTTTATTGGTCGTGGAATTGAGTACAAGAGTCAGGATGTCATGTTGCAATTTTATAAGACTTTGGTTAGGCCACACTTGGAGTGTTGCATTCAATTCTGGTCTCCACATTACAGGAAGGATGTGGAGGCTTTGGAGACGGTGCAGAAGAGGTTTACCAAAATGCTTCCTGGATTAGAGAGTATGAGCTATAAGCAGAGGCTACAAAGTCCATCTTGTTTTCGCTGGAGCCAAGGAAGGCTGAGGGAAACTTGACAGAAATCTATAAAATTATGAAATGCATAGATAGGGTTGACAGTCAGAGTCTTTTTCCCAGAATTAAAATGTCTAAAACTAGGGGGCATGCATTTAAGGTGAGAAAGGGAAAGTTTAAAGGAGATGTGAGAGGCAAGTTTTTACACAAACAGTGATAGGAATCTGGAATGTGCTTTCATGGGTGGTGGTGGAGACAGATACATTAGCGGCATTTAAGAGACTTTTAAGATAAGCACATGAATATGCAAGGAATGGAGGGATATGGAACGAGGGCAGGCAGAAGGGATTATTTTAATTTGGTGTCACGTTTGGCACAACATCGTGGGCCGAAGGGCCAATTCCTGTGCTGTTCTATGTTTATGAGCCTACTTTTGTCAAGATCTAGAATTATATATCACTTTATATATTTGTGCTTCTTTCTTATTCCCTAAAAGCAACTAACCCTGATTTGTTGTCATCCACCAATTTAGACAGCTTTGCTTTTATGCATTTGGCTGCACAGTTGGTTTGTGATGCAGAGTGATGCCAACAGATTAGATTCCCACACCATCTGAGGTTACAATGCAGAACTCTCCTGCTCAACCTCTCCCCTTGACTTGAGATGCGATTACCTTCAGGTTAAACCACCACCAGTCATCTCTCTCTAATGAGAGAGCAGCCTGTGGATGAATAGGATTTGGAGACTTTGCTTTTACGTTATTTCTGCAGACTTTAATGTTCTCAGAAGCAACATATATGCCACTTTTTGTTATACAGCTGACCTTTCCCTTGTGTCGCCAATTTTCAGAGGCTTGTTTTCTATTCTACACCCTCCCCCTAAATTCTGGACAATTTAATACTGTCGAGCCATTAGAATTATAAAATTTTAAATATGTCACATTCACAGCATTTCTTTTGTCAACAAACTCTGTAATATTCTCAAAGGAGGCAAAGAAAATTTGTTCAGCATTTGTTTTCCATACTGTCCTTCTAATGCTCACCATTGCATTTTGGCACCAGTGAACATAGGAAACAAGAAACACAGGATCAGGAGGAGGCCATTCAGCTCCTTGAGCCTGTTCCACCATTCAATGAGATCATGGCTGATCTGTGGCCTTACTCCATTTATCTACTTTTGGCCCTTATTCCCTAATACCTTTGCTTAACAAAATATTATATATCTCAGATTTAAAATTAACAACTGATCCAGTATCCACTGCGGTTTGTGGAAGAGAGTTCCAAACATCTACAGCTCTTTGTGTGTAGAAGCACTTCCTAATATCTCTCCTGAACAGTCTGGCCCTCATTCTCAGATAATGCCCCCTAGTTCTAGAATCTCCAAGCAGTGGAAATAGTTTACCTTTATCTACTTTGTCTTTTCCTGTTAATGTCTTGAAGGCTTCAATCACATCACCCCTTAATGTTCTAAAATCTGGAGAAAACAGGGCTAATTTGTGTATTCTATCCTCATAACTTATCCTTGAAGTCCAGGTAACATTCTTGTAAAAACATGTTGTGCTCCCTCCATGGTGGAGGTGCTCAGATCAGCTCACAGTACACCAGGGTGTAACAGGGTGGCATCTAACCAGGGTTTTGTATAACTGCAGCATAACCTCTGCATCCTTGTAATACAGTCCTCTAGATATAAATGCCAACATTCCATTAGCTTTCTTGACTATTTTCAGCATTTGTTCATGACATAGTAAAGATGTGTGCATCTGAACCCCCCAAATCTCTTTGGACATCCCCTATATTAACTTCATAATATCTAGAAAGTACCCTGGTTGTAAAATGGTCCAGAAAGGGTCTTCCCTTTGTCACTTTTTGAGATTAATGTTTATTTAAATGTTTTACAATCATCAGATATTATTCCAAAATCTAACAATTAATAGAAGACAGGAACTTGATTTTATTCGTTCTTTTCTTTAAGTGGTTATGTATAAAGTTGTTTCAGGCCGATGTCATGTTCACTTCTGCATATCCCTCATGTCCCTGAGTGTAATTCTTCAGTGCGTATGAATGACTTGGAAGTGGACAGAGGGGATAATGTATAATGGTATCAAAACCAAAATACGGTATTTTTGATCACAGGGTCACTGATGCGATAGCTTTTAACCAACAGCCAATTCATGTTTGTGAAGGAATTGTGTTACTATCAGTTACTATTAGTCTCCAAGATATATGGTTTTAATTATGATGTTTTTTCATTGACCTTACAGAAATTTAAATATGATCGATTTTTGAACCCAGATGGAACAAGAAAAACAGTTTTCTTCAAGGGTGGAAAACAGCTGAAGTACTACAACATGCCTTGGGGTGCAGGAACCAATGTTTGTATTGGACAATCTTTAGCAACAAATAGCCTAAAAGTGTAAGTGTCTTTCAGATTCATTGTATGTAGTATACATTATTTTCCTGTAAACAACAAGTATTTCCATACAATTTGTCTTACAAGGTTGTAACTACAGAAGCTCACAAAAAAACTAATGTATCATGAGTGACAAGAAAGTCAGCAAAGCCATCAAACTGGAATGTCATACATTGCTGCTGTCTTGTTATTTTGCCAAATTTGATGAATTCTCCCTAGAATTGTCCCGAAAAATCCATCAGTCATCTGCTGAATGAATGTCCATATTGCAGAAGCCCTCTTGTGGTTATTGTGTTACAGCTCACTCAGGGAGTCTAATTACTGTGGTAACATGCATGTTTACATCCATGTGGTATTTGCAGCTATGGAAATTTATGGTAGAGGCACCACATTTCTTTCCGTGGCATGGTTGATCGGGAATCTCTCCTGCTATTATCAACAGCCAATGATGTATGTTGGAGGATTTGCAGGCTGATAGGCCAGCTGTTTGGCTGACTTATGAATGCATCTTCCATGGCCATCAAGGTTAAATGTGGGATTTAAACCTAGGTCACTTGACTTGGACATAGGAATACATCACAAGATCTCTCAGAAAACTCCATAGCCACCTGAAATGGCCTAGTGTCATATTGGCTTCATCACCTTCATCACACAGACAGAGCAATGCATGGAAATGACTTTTCTTGTATATCAATTTGAATTGCATTGTTGCCTGTCTCATCTCAGATAAGTTTGTCTTTTTTGAACTGGAGTGTTCGATGATGCAGACAAATGCCTGGAATTTCCACAGGGGGTTTTCAATGTAACTCCTGGAGGAACAGCACAAATAGTTAAAACTAGTTGTTCAGACATTTTCCGGGATTTCTGCTGGACTTCTGAATTTGTGGCAGTAAATGAAAAGTCTGCAAAATTTCTCCCCAAAGTATTCTGTCTGATGGTAGTTAAAAACTTCTGTAATCCATCCCGTTCATCTTGAAGTGGTCATTTCCAGTTGTTTATTCAGTATCCAGATTTTTCTATCCACCCAGCTGAAACATAAATCATGCTGACTAAGAATTCTGGAATTCTCACAACTGTTTCAATTTTGGGCAGCATTAACTAGCACAGCTTAAAGGTGTGAGTGGTCAGCCTGTTTGTAGCGTCCCACCTTTGCCAGCTCCATTACAGAGCTGGGCAATTCAAAATATACTCCACCTGAGTTTTGATGGAGCTGTGTCTGTTCTGTCAGGAGATGTGGCTAACAGTACCTCAGAGAATTCATGACCCATTGGGGAACCCAGGTATTGAGTGAAAAATCAAAATAAGAACACTCAAATTCCTTTTGTAAAGTATTTCCTCTCTTACCTTCTGATAATGCTATTGATCAATCACAGCCACTCATATCATTAATGTCAAAAATATTTGAATTCACTTCAAGCCTCTTAACCTTGAATAAATAAACAGATGACAAAAAAAGCACTATTACAAAATATTGAAGATTCTAATCAAACAAATCAATGCCTCATGGTTATAAAAGCCAATTATCTCAGTCCCAGGGTATTGCTGCAGCAGTTGGTCAGAGTTGGGTCCTAACCAGCTTCATCAATGATCTATAAGGTTAGAAGTTGGGATGTTCAGATTGTTGCACTAAATTCAATAACCATTTGCAATTCATCAGATTCCAAAACATTCTGTGTCCATATGCAGTAAGATCTGGACAACATTAAGACTTGGGTTAATAGCTGACATGAAATATTCATGCCATACAATGACCACCTCCATCAAGAGATAATAAAACAAAGTCCCTTTGACATTCAATGGTGTTACTGGCAGTGTTAATGCCCATAGGTTGTCATTGACCAGAAACTGAACTGGACCAGCAGTATAAATACTGTGGCTACAAGAGATTAGCAACTGAAAATTTCCTAGAGGTGGTAATACACCTCCTGATTCCCTAAATCTTTTCCACCGTCTACAAGAAACATCTCAGCAGTATGATAGAATACTCTCCATTTGCCTGGATGGCAGTATGCTCCTGCAACTTTCAGGAAGCTTGATGCCACTGAGGACAAGATAACTTGTTTGATCAGAACCCAACCCACCACCCCAAACCTTCACTCCCACCACTAATGACACAATGGCAGCAGTGTGTGTTGAGTACAAAATGAACTGCAGCAGGGCAAGGGCGGAAGACATATGACAATACCTTCACGTGTAAGTTCTCCTCCAAGCCAGACAGTGTCCTGATACGGAACAATATCTCCATTCCTTCACTGGATCAAAATCCTGGAATACCTTCCCAACCGCAACTTGGCCATAACTGCACTGGATGGGCTGCAACAGTTCAAGAAGACGACTCACTAGCACTTTCTCAGGGACAGTTAGAGATGAACAATAAATACTGGCTTTGCTGGTGAAGCCTATATCCTATGAAAGAATAAAAAGTAAATGGAGGTAGACTTTTCTAGCCTTCCTGGCTTGCCATCCACCCATGTCCGTCACCAATTCAGATCTGCCTCCAGAAGCACTGGACCTGACTCCTCCTCATCCCATCCTTCATGAAATGAGATGATAGAGGATGGACCTTCATTAAAGGAGATGCAATTTCACAGTCAGGAATTCTCTCAGCTCTTGCTGCCCATCTCCTTCACAAAAATCCAGCCTTCTATATTAGAACAATACCTTAAACTATGTACACAGCATCTGTATCACTCACTTAACAACTGTCATTGAAAGTAACTGAAATTATTTGTATATTTTGTTTTATAGGTTTGTTTCTTTAATGCTAAATTGTTTTGATTTTCAACTTACTGATCCAAAGGCAGAAGTTCCAGCCTTTAACACAAGCAGATATGGATTTGGACTAATGCAGCCAGAAAATGATATCATGTTTCAGTATAAAGTCAAGATTGAATAACCCAAGGAACACAACACAACAGATATCACAATCTACAATTGTACACAAAGTTTTTATCATTTTGGAACTCTCATTTTTATTTCCTTGATGAAAATTGATCTCTTCCTGCAATTGTTTTCCTTTTAAGAAGAAAAGTTGATGGATAATGATGTTTTTAAATAAGGTATTTCTTACTAAAGTGTCATTAGAATTCAGGATGGAATCTCAGATGAGAAATGCACAACAAGATGATATGAAAATTTGTAAAGATAAGTGGTTGTGTAGAACTGGAAACAGTTATAACAAAACACTACTAAACTTTTTTAAATTATTCTTGTATTTTAATATTTAATGAAAAATAAAAAGTACAATATTGACAGTTTTGCTGTGAAATGGTCTGCAAAATTTCATAGAACACATACAATGCCACCCTATCTGTTGTTGTTGACTAATGCCACATGTCAGTTAACAGACCATTTCAAAGAACTTGCCCTTATGTCAAGGTTTAGATTTTATTTCAGTTTGGCTTGTAAATTTATTGAAATATTACCACTGAACCAGAAATAGTAAAATCTGAATTTATATAGCACCTTTTATAATCAAGGGACAATCCAAATTAGACTTTTTAACCAACAAAGTATTTTTGAAGTTATGTGGCCAAGGTCCCCTTAATGACTGGAAAGACAAGGACTTGTGTATTGAAGGATCAAACACAGAAGTCAGTCTGAAATATTGGTTCAGAAGATGTGTGACAACAGTAATGCCAATCCCATGTCTCATAAATCAAGAGACAACCCCTTAAAAATCAAGACATTTTGTTTATAAATCAGAAGATGCTTCTTTTTTCAAGAAAAAATCAAAATGGATTGACACATGATTTGTAAATCCTAATAGAGAATTGTTTAATTTGTAACAGGTAATATTTTAATAATCATTTAAGCTATTTACAACAATTGTATTGACATTATCAGAAAACTGTTTACAAAATTAAAAAGACAGAGTCAGAAGAGAAACCAATGACATTTTCTCAAGAAAAAGTGTTGGTTAGCAGAAACAGAATTTATTATACTAAATAGGTTTTCTGCAACCAAGAGGTCCGTTTTCATAGTCTCTGTGTGTTGAAAGTACATAAGGACAATGCAAACCTCCACGTCTCTGAAACTATCATCACTCTCACCCATCATTTGAGCAAAAGGCCTTGTTTGGTATGAGTTACAACTGATTCAAATAACAGTTGGCAAGAGCTTTTATTATTGAAGTATACTTTTTGTTTTTCTGCAGGAAAGCTTTTTTGTAATGTTTGAATCAGGAAACATCAGCTTTATGAGTTTTGTGAAATGACCTGCAAATGCAATTGGTAGTCCATGTTCTGTGATGACTTGGCAAAAAGTTTAGCAGTTGTCACTTTCTGCGTAAAGTCTGTGGTACTGAGCTAACAAAACCTGTTATTGACTGTGGCATTTTTGAGGCCAGAGCTCAGCTTACATGCTTGTAAGGTTACTTACTCTAGAATTACTAGAGCTGATGTCTTTAACACAAGTCAGCCAAAAATGCACGTGCATCTGAAAGTCTGATTTTTTTGTTACTGGTAGAAGTATATTAGTCCCCATTATTTTTACTCCTGTAGTAGCCTGCTTCCCTTTAACAACATGACTAATAAGAAACTGCATGTGACTCATTTGAGCAGGAAAAAACCTTGAAAATGCAATACAGAATTGTCAGAAAAGAAAACATAACTCCATGTAGTCTTCTGTGCAGAACTAATCAACCTATTTACCCCTTGGAAAAAATACCACAAAAATGTACACATTTAGGTAATAGCTGCACATGTCAAATTAAAAGAATCTTAAAAGAACTCCAACCCTCTATTTAAACCTGTGCCTTTAATTCCAATATCAACTTTTAAAGAACAGAATAGTCGGGTCATAATAAATTGTGTAGGGCACATACATAAAAACAGAATTAGAAATCAGTGAAGTACTGTCTTTAGCAAAAAAACCCTGCAAAATTGATAACGGGCATGTTAGTTCAATGTTATAGATTACCCAAAAAGTACATTCATATCAAGGTTCAAATTTTATGTCACAATATTCAAAGAAATAATAGCTAATTTTGGGAATGAACTAGTTTACATCTCCAACTTATCAGCCACATTTCAAGATGCATTGGAAAGCTGGAATCAAACTTTAAATACAATAATTAGAGCTGATTACCAATGATGTTCGAATGACTGGAATGAATTGTTACTATTTGCCAGTCAGGTGCTGCTAATAAGACTGCATGATTTGTCCTGTATACTGCTATTCATCATTTATATACATGATTTGGATATAAATATTGGTGTAGTTATTAAGTTTGCAGATGACACCAAAAGAGATGGTGTAGTGAACAGTGAAGAAGATTATCTCAGAGTACAATGGTTAATTGATCAGATGGGCCAATGGGCCAAGGAGTGGCAGATGGATTTTAATTTAGATAAAAATGGGATGTTGCATTTTGTTAAGGCAAACGAGGGCAGGACTTATATGGTTAACGATAGGGCCCTGGGGAATGTTGCAGAATAAAAAGACCCCGGCGTGGAGGTCCACTGTTCCTTGAAAGTGGAGTTGCAGGTAGTCAAGGTGGTGTAGAAGGCATTTGGCATGCTTGCCTTCGTTGGTCATATCATTGAGTTTGGTAGTTAGGACGTCATGTGGCAGCTGTACAGGACCTTGGTGAGGCCCACTTTTATAAATCTGCATGCAATTTTGGTCGCCCTTCTATCGGAAGGAGGTTAAACTTGAAAGGGTGCAGAAAAGATTTACAAGAATGTTGCCAGACTGGAGGGTTTGAGCTAAATGGTGAAGCTGAATAGCTTGTGTTTTTTTTTCCCTCGTGCATCGGAGACTGAGGGGTGACCTTATAGAGGTTTACAAAATCACGAGGGGCATGGATAGGATGAATAGCCAAGGGGGAGTCCAAAAATAGAGGGCATAGGTTTAAGGTGAGAGGAGAAATATTTAAAAAGGACCTGCGGAGTAACATTTTCATGCAGAGGGTGGTATGTATATGGAACAGGCTGCCAGAGGAAGTGGTGGAGGTGAGTATAATTACAACATTTAAAAGGCATCTGGAGAGATATATGAATAGGAAGGGTTTTGAGGGATATGGACCAAATCTTGACAAATGGGACTAGGTCAAATTGAGATGACTGGTCAGTGCAGACGAGTTGGACCAAAGGGTCTGTTTCTGTACTAGATGAATCTATGACTCTAACTAATAAATAAAGATGAGGTGAAAGGACTACTTACAGCAATTAAAGAAAATTTGATAAACTGAGGCTCACAGGTAACATTTCCATCTTATGGTACAAGTTTCACAGAGAAACTGACCAGAGCAAATGATTAACTGCATTTGAATGATGTTCAACAAACAATGAAAACTAGAGCAGATATCAAGTCCAAAGTTTGAACCTTGATTGACTAAGACAAGATGTTAGTATTGTTACCTGTCTCTAGGGTTCCATTAAAATCAAGGTTCACTGAGCTTAATCAAATCAAAAAGAAACTCAATGACCTAAAATTGTAGTGAGTATTCCAGAGAGGAGAAAAAATCAGTATGTTGTTTTAATATTTTAAAAAGATATCATGGCAGTCATGATAGTTTGGCAAAAAGTGTACTTAATGTGGTGAAAGAAGTAGGGAGTGAAATATCTGAAAAAAATGGAGAATGAATCTGAAATTGAAACTTCAAAGCTTACCTTCTAGCAAGCAGATTGGATAATGTAGAGTAGGCTAAAAGGTTAGAAAGCAGCATGTCTTATCATCCAGAAAAAATTTGAAGTAATTTACAAAGGCTGTACAGAATCATAAATGAATTTGTGGGAAGAGGCCAGGAAATAAATGTTTTTGTTATTTGTGAAAATAAGATGGGGGACGCATAACCTATCTATAAGAAAACACCCTTACAGGCTCAATCCAGAAAAAATACCTCATGTGAGGGAAGGAATTCAATTCATGATGAACAATGACATCACTGAACCAAATTACAGAAGCTGGAGTTTACCTATTGTGATCGTGCTGAAATCAGGTGGGTCACAAAGTCAAGGTTTTAACAATGGCGGCTTGGAGATTGGAGGATTGCACTGAACAAATTGGACACACGCAATTTGTCACAAAAAACAACTTGCTAAAAGAATTTTGGTGTGTCTTATTTACTGATAGAGCCAAAGAAATAGCAACATTGTAACATCGGATATGCATTAATAATGCAAAGTCAAGCCACTTGGAATGAAAAATGCACCGGCAATATTACAACAGTTAGCCAATAAAGTAATTAAAGGCATGCGTCACTGTGTTGTTTATATCAATAATTTGGTTGCTTTTAGCCAAATCTGGCCAGAACATTTCCACCATTTGACTGAAATGTTTGATTGACTACAACAAACCAGTTTGGTTATAATCCTGGCCAAGATTGAATTGGTTCAAGCAAAGATAGCTTGTTTGGGCTGCAATATGGGACAAGGCCAAAAAAAAAAACTGAAATTAAGGTGAATTTGAATTCTGTTGCCTGACGCAAAATGTGAAATCTTGTGTAAAGTAGGCATGAGTTGATTTTATTGCACGTTTGTCCCTAACGTCAGCGCTGTTGTTGCACCTTTAACAAATTTGTTGAAGAAAGGCAGAAATATTGAATGGATGCAATTTGTCAGAATGCCTTTTGAAACTTGAAAGCCGGTTTTATTCAGTCCAAGCAGTAAGAAGCCATTCAAACTTGCTGTTGGTGCCAGTGACATCGGAGTGCAGGGCCATTTAACTTCATGATTAACAAATGGGGATTGAACAGCTTGTCAGTTATTTTTCAAAGAAACTAATCACATGTTAGCAAAAATATTCAACTGTTGGAAAAAAAGACATCTAGTCTTGTGTTGGTTCTGTATCATTTTGAAATATACACCATGAACAATGTGGAAGAAACTGCTATTTATATGGATCATAATCCTTTGATTTTCCTGGAAAAAGTTTGGGAGAAGAACTTAATGATGTTCTTGATGGAGATTAATTTTCCAACTATAATTTTAAAATCATTCATGTTCCTGAAAAAGAAATGTTATAATAGATGCTCTATTGAGAGCATATACAAAGGAAACTGAGTGCTAGGGTGCCCATGACTTAGGTAAAATCTGTTTGCTACATAACTCATTGTATGTTTAATGTCCATATGTCACTACTGTTAATGTGACATAGAAAATGGTTTTAAGATAATTTTTAACGGGTAGTGAAAATGCCTATTAAAGATACATTTCCATTCTTCTTTGGATGGAGGTTTAAAGTAAAGTCTGTTTTCATATATGTACTAGTATCATTTATTTTAAAGATTAAATTTGGGACTAATAG